TGTTTTTGGCAGAAGAGACTTTAAAACAGGGTGCCCACAAGGTCGATCGCGTAGCGATCAGTGGTAGATCACGATGGCCTCTCCGCTCGCCCGTGCTGCTTCTCCGGATCCCCGCTGCTCTCCCCATCTGTATGCAGCGGGGATCCGAGAAGTGAAAGAACCGCTGCAGCCCGCGGCGGAGGAGGGAGCCGCTGTCACAAGGAGAGGAGGAGGATGAGGACGACGAGGGAGGACTGAATTCTGTGACAGTGGCTCCCCACCCTGCGCGCACGGCTGCAGCTCTTCTTTCACTTCTCCTCGGATCCGCCTCTGCTCGGGAGAGCAGGGGGGATCCAGAGGAGAAGCTGAGCCCCCCTGTGCGTGGCCGTGCGGCAGAGGATCGGTACATATCAGTGATATGTTCCGATCCTCTGTGCAGGACAAACACTGGAGCGATCAGCTGATCACTCCAGTGTTTGTAAATAACTGGGGACACATAGTACTATGTGTCTCCAGTTATGAATGAACAGGATGTGATTTACATCACTTCCTGTCTCCAGTTATGAATGAACAGGATGTGATTTACATCACTTCCTGTTCATTGATGAGTTTTCAATGGGGAGAAGCACTCACTACAGAGGCTCCTCCCCATTCAGAAACTGGTTATAGTAAATATTTTCTGAATGCAAAAGGAGCTGGCTACGGCTATGCTCCTGCGGTGCTCGTGCGACTTCCGGCTGAATGTGGCAGACGCTGCAGATGGAAAGGGGCGGGACACCTCTCCCCATGAGCAACGTCGGCCACACGAGCACCGCGGGAGGACAGGACGCCGGGGGCCTCTAGGACGCACTGGAATGTAAGCCGGCCAACTCCCTGCGTTCAGGGGTGTGGGGTTGTATTGAAGTCAATGGCACTGCAGCCATGCCCCCCGCCCACAGTGCAATCGCCCGCACCCGGAACATTAGTGCCTGCGTTCCGGTCCAGTGTGATCTGCAAAAATAGTGCTTGCAGCATTTTTCCGGATCGCACTGGACTGGAACGCACGCACTTATGTGCCTGGGTTCCAGGTGCAGGCGATCAGCCTGCCTTCAGTGCTTGGCTGCGGTGCCATTGACTTTAATGCACCGCCACAACCCCTCCTGCCCCTGAATGCAGGTGTTTTTTCGTTGGTAGATCTCATTGAGCTCATCATTTGAAAAGTAGAACTCCAGACGAAAAATTGTGGGCGCCCCTGCTTTAAAACATCAGTATTGACCTTGGTGTGCTGGTGACACATAAGCTATTTGGCACTGCTTCTACCCAGGACGGTATGTCAAACTGCTGTACATCCCAATACATGTCTGTCTATAATAAAAACTCTTTCAGCTCATTGCATACAAATGGCAACACAGAACCGTTAAACTCCCATTTCACATGGCAACATTTCAGACCATGTCTAGCCCTTTGTCAAGCTAGGAGCAAACAGTCAAAAACTGTGCCGCTCCAAGAAGTTTTGTCGGCTGCAGGAAGACAAGATGGGACCGTGGGAGACGCGGCCCGGTCGGCGGAGGCTGTGGGCGGCTCCAGTAAGATGCTTTGGAGGCTGGAGGAAGAAGCGGCATGTCCTGGAAGCAGGCTGGGGAGCAGCATGTGTGCAGGGAAAGGGACCCTCCACATCCCATCATATTTCCTGCACAGCCCACCTTAAAGTCTCTGTGCAAGGTCTATGGTGGGCTCTGGGGGGGTTTGCAGGGACTCAGATGGGCAGGGCAAGGTCTATGGTGCAATGTGCAGGGTCTATGGTGGTCTCAGCCTGACATCCTGCAGTGCCCACCAGAGATCCTTTACAGCCCATCTGAGACCCCGGATTCCCTGCAACACTAAGCCCTCATTTCACACTTCTTAGAGTTGGCCCGTACACATCCGTGCTGGTGCGGGTGTCCGTGATCAGACGCAGACAGGATCCATCCTGTCTGTGTACGAGTATGGACATCCGCACCTGCACGGATGTGCAGTTCAGGTGAGCGTACGGCTGCATCCTCCCATAGAGAACAGGCTACTGCGTACAAATCACAAGCAGCACCTGTCCTTCCCCGGGAACGGCCTGATACTGCCGTGCACGTCCCACGGATCTGTACGGGCCAGCTCTAAGCAGTGTGAATGAGGCCTAATAGCGCAACCTGTCAGAAGCTGTATCCTGCGACTTGACCGGTTACGCAAAATGTCTTGAACAGGAAGGGGGTGGAACAAATTTAGATGGGGGGTGCCGAGTTTCGTTTTGCCTAGGGCAGCACAAAACCTAAATACACCGCTGATAGTGACTATAGGTTATAAATACTCACATAACTCAATATGTTGACTTATGGACCTGAAGCAAGTATTCAAATAATGACTTCTAACTTTCCCATCTGTATACCTGTTCAGGGTCAGCCAAACAAAGTATTGAACCATATATAAAAGAAATAGAATTCTGTGCTCCTGGAGCTAACTAAATTGTAATTGATCCTAAAGCAGCTATGAGAGAAAGTGGATGAACCACCTTATTAGTAGATAAAAAGTAGAAACACAGTGCTAAAGGTTGACCAACTTATATAGTTAAATAATCAGTGGTTGGATAGGTTCTTACTGTGGTGGATTAGGTGTTCTCAAGTGAGTGGTTTGTGAGAAGAACTGCGTCTTCACACAGCCCTGGGAACGATAATTGTTAATAAAGTGTATGAAGAGGAAATAGGTGTGTGAATGCGTAAAAAAAAAAACATCAATCCCCAATCAAAAAAATATCAAAAATAATATAGTATGGAACAATTATAGCAAAGAAAATGAGAAATAGTGAAAGTGATCGTAACGACCTTACATAGCAGCTAAATGAAAGCTAATATGAAGCTGTGCATTTGGTACATCTAAAACCGCAATGTTATACAGATCGGGTGATAGAGATACAGATCGGGTGATAGAGATACATCCTAATAAATAAAAATGAGTGATAAAGAAATCGATACAGATATACAAGAGAAATACTGTGGTAAAAAACAATATCTGTATCGATTTCTTTATCACTCATTTTTATTTATTACCCGATCTGTATAACATTGCGGTTTTAGATGTACCAAATGCACAGCTTCATATTAGCTTTCATTTAGCTGCTATGTAAGGTCGTTACGATCACTTTCACTATTTCTCATTTTCTTTGTTATAATTGTTCCATACTATATTATTTTTGATATTTTTTTGATTGGGGATTGATGTTTTTTTTTACGCCTTCCCACACCTATTTCCTCTTCATACACTTTATTAACAATTATCGTTCCCAGGGCTGTGTGAAGACGCAGTTCTTCTCACAAACCACTCACTTGAGAACACCTAATCCACCACAGTAAGAACCTATCCAACCACTGATTATTTAACTATATAAGTTGGTCAACCTTTAGCGCTGCGTTTCTACTTTTTATCTATTAAACCATATATAAACCCAAGAACAAAAATGTAATATACTGCAGCTTAACAGTCCATAAATGTAGTTGCTGCATTCGTTTTGTTTTAAATCACTATATTTTTAGATTTTCACCTGCTGTCCCTTTGTAGCTACACTCCTTTCTCTACTGAATCTATGGAAGGAGCCACAGTTGTCACTCAGGCTGGATTTCGAACATGTCTGCCTCTGTATATCTTAATTGTATGGTGACTAATGGAACTTGTAGTTGGCACAAGAAAGATAAGGATGGCGGTACTTTTTTTTTCCATCTCACAAGAAGTGACAAGGACATTGAGGGGAATTTATTAAATCTGGAGCAGACAAAACCTGGAGCAGTTGCCCATGGCAACCAATCAGCTTCTCTCCTCAGTTTGTTCAGTTAAGATTTGAAAATGAAAGAAATGCCGATTGGTTGCCGTGCAGAGCTACTCCAGATTTTATCTGCTCCAGTTTTGATCATTTTCCCTCTCTGTGTTTCTGGTAAAATTAACAAAGAACTGGAGAAATCTTCTAGCTGACGTCCCAGAGACCTTTACTAAATGGGGGAAAGAAACTGCTGCAGAGCTAAAAAAAAAAAAAACAGACAAATGTGTCTTGTGACTATTTTTGATTTTAGAAGCCTAATACTTTACCTGTAGATTTATCCAAGATAATCTAGAACAGGGGTGCCCATTAGGTAGATCGCGATCTGCCAGGCGATCGCAAAGTGAACGTTGGTAGATCGCGATCGGCTCACTGACCTAAGCTCCCTCCCGCGCTGCTAAGCCGGCTGAATGTGTCAAACGCTGCAGACGGGAAGGGGTGGGACACCTCTCCCTGTCTGCTGCGTCGGCCACATTTAGCCACACCAGCAGCGTGGGAGGACAGGACAACGCACGAGAGGAGACCTAAGAAGCTGCTGCAGTGCAGATAAGGAAAGACAGCCAAGAGAGAGAAGGGGCAGCAGCGAGAAAGGTAGAAGAGACAGCAGCGAGAAAGAGACAGAGAGAGAGAGCACGAGGGGAGAGAGCGAGAGAGAGAGAGGCGGTAGTCCCAGTAATGATTTTAATGTTCTTGTCTTTTTTTTTTTTTTTTTTTAATAATGGTGTTTTTTCATTAGTAGATCTCATTGAGCTCGTCATTTGAAAAGTAGATCTCCAGACAAAAAATTGTGGGCACCCCTGATCTAGAACCTCTTGATAACCTCTATTTTCTAGCAATAGGACAGCAATCAGTAGATTCAAGGATGTTGATAACAATAAAAGTGGATGCCACATGTTTATATAATCTTTTACTGCTTGTTTCCACAGAAACAAATATACAGTTTTCATGGTAGTTCCAGCACTACTGTACATTTGTATACTACATGGTTTCATCAATAATTTCACTGCAGCCTCTTTGGGGTGTATTACTAGGGACATATAATCCTTGAAACAGGATTACTAGGCTTGCCAACCTCAGCACTGCAGTGCCTTATGGGACTTGTAGTTCTAACACAGTAGGCATGTCGAAGTTGCCTACCTCTAAAGTAGACTGTATAAATGCATTGAAAAATAAATACGTTACTTGAAGGTCAGTTTTGTGTACACCTTCAAAATAAATAGGTAAATTATTTGATATTGTATCTATAAATGTTTTTTTTTTCCCCAATCTGTATACTGTCCACTACTTAAAATATTTCTGGTCTGGATCCTCTTGTACGATGCAGAATTCTTGCACTGGCGTCCTATCACTTGCTTCCCAACAGCTCCTCTCGCAGGTAAAAATGAGAACTGTCCCAAATTCCAAAAGCAAGTCTAAAAAATAAAACCATTGAATAAATCACACACAGGTACAGGTAAATAAACCACAGCCGATGATCTATGTCACTAGACTAACTCACCACTTTTAGCTCCCTGCAGCATTGTTACAAGAGCCGGCATCAACTGGAACTCAAAAATTCTTCTGCTTCCGCATCGTGGACATGGCGGAGGCTGAGATGTGGCATCCAAGGGGCTTATACATAACGGTTGCCCATTACAAGAGTATCTGAAGACGGAGAAAAAAAAAGGCATCTAGTATTTTGGAAAAATGACAGCATTTGGGGTGACAGTTAGGGATGCACCGATACTTTTCGAGTACCAATGCCGATACTTGGCATTTGCATGAGAACTACCAGGGTTGCATCTGTTCCAGTTGGGACCTGGCTTTGGTACTCCACCACTGTCCTGAAATAATTAGTCTGTTATTGTTTTAGAAAAACTGTCACATGACAATAAATAAAAATGTGTCAGTACTTGTAAGTACTGAATAAAAATGTGTCAGTACTTGTAAGTACTTAAGCAAGTATCAGTACTTGCAAAACTGGTATCGGTGCATCTCTTTATTTATAAAAACAAAATCATACATTAAAACAGAGATGTACAAATCCCAGGAGCTCCGTGTGCTCCTTACAAATGACAGCTGCCTCCTAACTGTTGATTTTTTTTCTTTAGTCTAGTCTTGGAGCTCAAAAAGTATCTGTACTTGTACAGAGTACGGTACTTGGTATTGGTGCATCCCTAGAGACAGTAGTGGACAAGCCATTTTGCATGCAGGGTTAGTCAGGTGCTGTTTCCTGCCTAGGCTACATTTACCACAGTGGCTGTTTGTTAGATTGACCTAGAGGTTGAATATAAATTGATCAAAGTGTGGTATTGAAGGTTAGACGTGCGATCCCCCTGAAGACGTCTTTTTATGACGAAACGCGTCAGGGCGGGGCTACACTTCTCGATACCACACACAACCAGGAAGTACAGAGGTTTTACTCACAAACGTGTGAGCGGCCGTTATCGATTTTAATTGTAAGTGGCTACTTTTTTTTGTTTAATAAAACGTTGGATCAACTACACCATGAGGAGTTCTTGTCCCTTTTGTATTTTCTTGATAAAATACTGATCCATGCGATGACGAGACGGCTGTAGGATTACCAACTGTCATCTCCTTCTGCTTATGAATATCCTGGTCTGGTGAGTGCGCATCCCAGAGGGGAATTTGACGTGGACACTTCGGTGTGGGATTTGTTTCATCATTAACGTGTTGCTGACACTGGAAATTTTAAATTATTTTTGGATTCACAAATTATTTATTTCTGGACTCACATCCAATCAACGATTTAATTATTTCTTAACCCACTTTTATACACCTTTGGACTCACTTTGCTATGTATCACTTTGTTTGATAAGCTTGAGATTTTTATACATTTTTTATATATATTTTTTATATATTCTTTATATATTTTTTTATATATTTCTCATATATC